GAGTAAACATACATTTGAGGGATGGAATGTAATGCGAAGCATTGAGGAATAATAAACAAAATGGCAGGCGATTTTTGAAATTTTGTCTAATAAACAAGAATTTTACAAAAATACTGCGGGTCTAAGGAGCGGAAACTCTTCGGATTCAGATTCAGTATGTTTAAACGTGTTATGTTATGTAAAAGTATTTGAGTTAAAAGGCACGGTCAATGAAAGTGAAGGATATTGGGCGAGGACAAACGGCCTACCGGGATCATTCCAGCAGATTTGAAGCTTATATGATTGTCTTTCGAATTACCAAGAATTAAGAAAATGGAACCATGGGAATTCTAGATATTTCATTTTAAACATTGTAAACAGATTTACACCTAAGTCGGCCATTCGCGCGGAGTCGACCAAGTTCAAGCCTCGATATAAGATAGAATATAACATTTACCTCTGAGATTTTTGCAGAAACCACTCCCAGGCAGCACACGACGTCATTTCGAGGTCGAAATATAGTTGAAATGTGGTCGCGACGTCGATCAACCTAATTTCGACGTCGGTTTGACGTCATATAGCTGACCTTAAATCGACGTCGATATAACGTTGTTTCAACGTTGAAAAGATAAAGCGCATATCAAATTTCAAAAAGTGCTCACAGAAATATATTATCGACGCGATTTCAACCTAATTTCGAATAACGTTTAGTGTTCGGGCATATGGAGGTGCATTATTGAGCGTGATTTTCTGTATTATTCACGGAATTTCATGACCAATATGTTTGTGGCAAATAATTTCTGTTTTTTGCTTAACATAAATCTACACTAAATTTAACTGCCCCAACTTACGGCCTTGTTCGAATAAAACCATAATATGCATCATTGTGTATCAAACTGTGCGGCGAGTGTCAAAGCGTAGAGTTGTATAATTTGACGAATAATTTTGCGTTTTACTATTATATGCTATCGAGCCAGTGTGAGGAGGCGGGCCAGGCGGCCTAGAAACCCGAGGGAAGATCTGGCAAGAACTTAAGAAATAAGAATTGTCGGAATTGATATTTTATATGCCTAATTTGTAACGCCAAAACCATTGTTGCCAAGTGTTGCTAGGGAGATCAATTGCTGGCCAATCAGATGCCACAACACTTGGCTAGGCGTAGGCGTCATGCAAATTTTTTTGACAGCGCCAAATGCAAAACAAGCTTACAGAATAGCGGAACTCGCAATTGTTACACACATCAAAAGCTAAAGTTGTAAATCAATAACATCGGAAAAGACAAGACAAGAGTCAAAGATTCCTAAAGGTTAGTTTAAAGTTGTTGATCTAATATGTTTCTATATTTAAATATCTATAACTGCAGCGATATAACTTTAATACAATCATAATTTCCGCGAAGCGATTTGCATCACATTTGAACTCCCTCCTGACTAGGTCAGTAGGTCTTTTAAAGGCTTTGTTTTCGTTAAAATTCTTTTTATATTTTGCTCTCATGAGGGTACTTGAGCGTCTTTTATCATTTTATATCACAAATTGTTCGGTTTGAAGCTATAAAATTATCCCAAAACAATATCGTGGGTTGACATTCCAATATATAATTTCGGTTATGCTATTGTTTATAAGTATGCTGTATGTAGGTTCACAATCCAATTCAATCCGCCATCTAATCGTCATTAACTAGTTTTCCGTGCATAGTTATTGTATTTTGTATGTTGTTTTCTGGTATTTTAGCGCGGTATTTTTGAAATTGCTCTGTTGCTTTGCTAAGAATAAAATTATTTTGGTGGGATTATTTATGAGCATTTATATTAAACAGCGACAGTAGGGGAATCGTTTGTTTAATCATTTACTAGACCAATTATTTAATAATTTCTGGTTCAAGGCCTTAAAATGCCATGTTCTGGTTCAAAGCCATGTTATTCTCTGAACAATATTTCAATGATTGAAATGCAACATATATAATAATAGTCAATAATGTAATAATAAACATATACAATAATAGTCATGTCTTGGTTTATGTAGGCTGGGGTAGCATAATAAATACAAGCTAGTTTAAGCCATTAAGTGGAAATACTAAATATATATATATATATATATATATATATATATATATATATAAATAAATAGGGATTATACTTTTTATAAAGATTTTGTCAGAGGGTGTAACCTTATATATAAAAAGGAGATTGATCTATTATTTTCCTGTAGATTTTGGGTACATTATATAGCTGCATGAAAATATTTAGCTGCATGGCTTAGTAATGATGAAAATGGAAATTTGGGAATTTTTTTTTTATTTAAAGGGTTTAAGTTATACCACCATGGCCTATTGGAGAAGCTATCGAAAAATTTCCTTTGAGGTCAATGCTTTTGCTGCTGCTGAAAGCAGTGAGGATGAGATTGTTGAAAATAATTACCATCAGCAAAATGTTCAGGGCGAATTAGTATCAGGCATCTCATCAGACTCCTCAGATAGTTTAAGCGATTATGATGAGGAAAACCAATCAGAGTACTTTTCACCATCAGATCATGAAATCCTTGAAAAAAGCTCTCCTCCATCTGTCAGTGGGGAAATAAGTTTACGCCAGGAACTAAATTGTTGGGCAACTAGAAATAAGTGCCAGCATAACTCACTGAATGAACTTCTTGATATCTTAAGACGGCAAGGGCATGACCTTCCTAAAGATGCGCGAACTCTTTTGCATACTCCTCGACATGTTGATGTTGTATCGAAGTGTGGCGGCCAATATATATATTTCGGTATTGAGCATGGGATTGTTAATATTTTAACGAAACATCGTAATATGGTTGAGGAATTATCTGACATTGAACTGTTGGTCAATATTGATGGTCTGCCTCTAATTAAGTCAACTAGTGATCAATTCTGGCCAATTTTGGGTAGATTTAATAACTTTGATGTCTTTGTGATAGCCCTGGTTTATGGCAAAAGCAAACCTAATTCCGTTGGTGAGTATCTTGCCGATTTTCTTAATGAGCTTGACAAGCTAAAATGTGGTGGAATTTGCTATGAGAAAAAGCAATTCAAATTTGGGTTGAAGTGTTTTTGCTGCGATGCTCCTGCGCGGTGTTTTTTGAAGTGCATTATTGGTCATACTGGGTATTTTGCTTGCGAACGTTGCATCATGAAGGGGATGTGGAATGGGAGAGTTGTGTTCAATTCAAATGATAATGCAGAATATCGCAGTGACGAGAAATTTGCCTTTCTCGAATATGAGGACCATCAAAAAAACGCCACGCCCTTAGTTGATCACGGTGTTCGATGCGTTCGAGACTTTTCTTTGGACTACATGCATCTTGTCTGTTTGGGAGTTACAAAACGTATTTTATATTACTTGAGAAAGGGTCCCAGGAAGTGCAAGTTATCTTCGCAGCAGATTGGTCAAATATCGTCCAGATTAATCCTTTTGAAAGGTTCAATGCCAAGCGAGTTTGCAAGGCAACCAAGATCTTTAGATGACGTAGAAAGATGGAAGGCTACCGAATTCCGTCAGTTTTTACTCTATACTGGGCCCGTTGTCTTGAAAGATATAGTTTCAAAAGAATTGTACCAACATTTCTTGGCATTCTCAATTTCCATATCTATTTTGCTTGATCAAGATAAAGAGAGAAGAGATTCACATTTGGAGTATGCTCGGCAGCTCTTAGAATTTTTTGTTAAGAACTGTAAGCATATCTATGGTGATTGTTTCACAGTTTACAATGTGCATTCTCTTTTACACTTACCTGATGATGTCAAGAACTTTGACTGTTCGTTAAATGAAATATCGTGCTTCCCGTTTGAAAATTTCATGCAGCAGCTTAAAAAGCATGTAAGAAGTGGTCAAAATCCGATTGTCCAGGCTGCTAAGAGAATTTCCGAATTGTCTAGTTCTGGTCACGAAGTAGCTGCCAAGGGCAATTTTACTCGAATAGGCTCCGTTGAAAGGGGTTTCAAAGACTGTTGCTTCTTGATTGATGGCAACTATGTATTTGTCCACGAAAAAAGGGGCGATAAAACACTTGTTTGTGATGTGCTGCCTGAAGGACAGGTAGAGAATTTCTTTGATAGTCCAGCCGATTCAAAGATCTTTCAGATCGTATATGCTCGCAGCATTAGACGCAAAATGAAGCGTCGTTTAGTTGAAGAGTCCCAATTAAATCGCAAGGCTGTGTGCTTGCCAATTTCTACTGGTACTGGTTATGCGATATTTCCACTACACCACGAAGTTGAGCGAAATGACAAATAGGCTATGATTTCTGAGTCACCCTGTAAGTTATTGTGAATGATACAAGAGTGATATTGATGAAATTAAAGTCTCATTGTACTGAGCGTTTCAGATTTCTAATGTTGTCTTTTATTTTTATAGCCTGATATTACTTTGCAGAAAACATGTGGGCAAGAGCTGTATGGAAGGAAGGTGATTTGGAGGAAGAAGCTGTCATTCCAAGTAATTGGATCCAAGACAAGACTGTGAGATGGCCAAACACTTTAAATGTCCTGAAGCCGTTAGCAGAGATGAGAGAACCTTTGGAAAGATGGCACAGCTTTCCACTCATAAAAATCAAAATCCAATCAGGTTGGCAAGCAAGATTTTTTTGTTTTAAACACTTGATGCGAATTTAAGGAGATTAAGAGTGTTAACACTTGTGCACTTTAGCATATAGATCCACTATCCCATAGCAGGCGCAAGTGATACAGCTTACTCAATGTAACAACAACACATTGCTCTCTAAAACGGAAAAGCACGTAGGACTCATTCACTAACTACAAAATGTTAAAGGAGAGACAATATAAAGAAATTTATGGAAGCCCAGTGCGCCTTTCGGGCCTTAATTGAACTAGCTGTACATTATGTACATTTGATTGTTTGATTCGAACAAAATTCGATCTTCGCAGGATTTTAAACTGAATGAATTTTAAACTGAATCAATCTTTTCCATTTTCTAGTTTTGCCACCTCCTCCAAGAAGTTTCAAGGCCGTATCAACACCCAAAGAAAAAAGGTCAAAGAAAACGTATAGTCAAAAGAAAAAGCGACGGACCATCAGCAGCGATACGTGTAGCTCGAGATCGCGATCAAGGTCAAAGTCACTGTTGAGGTCGCGTTCGCCTTTGCGTTCGCGTTTATTATCCAAGTCGCGTTCATCGTCAAGGTCGCTTTCACCCTCGACGTCGCGTTCACCCTCGACGTCATCCTCGATGTGGCGTTCATCCTCGAAGTCGCATTCATCCTCGAAGTCGCATTCATCCTCGAAAACGCGTTCACTGTTAGTCCGATCACCGACATCACCATCACGCTCTGCACTAGCGATGCCTTCATCGTCTTCGCCTTTAAGAAGAACACCTTCAACTGCGCCCTTCGAGGTCGAGACCTTCACAAAAAGAAAATTTGCAACCAGATAGGTTGCAAACACCGCATGGAAAAAAGAAACCGTCGAATGTTTTTCCAATGTCCGATGAACGTAAGTCTTTACCAAACTTGAATACAAAATTATAAAGTATTATCTTACTGTCCATGTGTAAATTTCTCTACTTGATATCTTTAGGATTCCAGAGAAGAGTTCTTTACCTACTGACAGAGATTCGAGATAATCTAAATCATGTAGGTAAAAGATACGAATCCAACGACTCAGACTTTCATCTGATCCAAGCTACGACTCTGGACGAGATAAAAAGTTTGGAGGATTCATTGTCTGACGAGAAAACCAGAAAACTACTGGTAAGAGCTCTGAATTCTAGTTCTCAGTGACTAACCGACTAACCTGCCTTAAAACCAAATTTAAATCTTCATATGGTATAGATTTCACGACTTTCTAAAATCGGCGGAGCCACAATTAAAGACAATGTCCGTGGCATAATGAGCAGGTATGGTACACATGGTCCGTGGTGTTAATAGCATAACAGTAGGATAGCCATGCATTAAAAACATAGAATTTTTTTAGGTTGATGACTAACGAAGTAATGGCGGGTATAAACATGAACGGCCATGGAGGCAAAATGGCTTTCCGAAAAACCGTCCTTTATGCAATTTTAACAGGTATATATTTTCGGCTTATACAAAATATTAGGAAAGACAATGTATGCCGTAGTTAAATGTAATTACTAAAACTTGAAATTTATGCACGCTGTAGCATTGCAACGCTGTTTATATAATAATATGGCTATCATTTGTGTCAAAATTATTTTCAAAAAAGTGTTTGATTAAAAACAAGAGATGTCTGTGAGGTTCATATTTGTCCTGTTTATAGATCAAACGTGGATTGACATAGAGACAACAAATTTTGCTAAATTAATGCTATCCGCAGCAATCAATTCATATATCATTGTATTAAAATTCTGGTGGGTTAATGGATCATTATTTTGAGTCGAAATTATGATCTATTAACCCTCCAGAATTTATTCTTTCCCCTCACCCAATTTATTAAAATGTCAATATATTATTTTTTATTGTAGAGGGTGTGCTAAAGAATCAAGCCGGCACAGAGAGTGAAGTTGACCAGGCGGTGTCAAAATACCTGAAATATGCGCCTGATAGACATGGCGGTGGGGGAAGACGAGACAAATCATCGTAGGACTAGTAAATTGTACTCGTAAATTGACTAAAATGATATTGATAGGAAATTACACAAGTTCTAGTTAATAATGAAAAATCGCACTTGTGTTTGGTAAAATATTGATAATATTCATATAAATATTTCGCCAAACACACGTGCGATTTTTCATCAATACTTCCTCCGACCGTGAAATTTATTAAACAAATACCACTCTATATAAGAGGGATATTTTTTATGTTCTTAGCCCATCAGAAACGAGCAAAATTGTTGATAATAATAAATTATGTAATTAGAAATTTTAGTGATTAATATGACTTATTTTGTAATTTTATCTGGTTGAGGTTTATCATCTTACATTAAATGTCAACAACGATTTTTACAAAGAGTCGAATGTTTATTGCACTATTAATAGTTAATTGCTGAAAAATTTTGGTGCTTCGCGACGTGGATAAATTGAACGTCGAATTGACGTTGTCTCGACTTTGAACCGACGTCGAACCGACGTCGAAAACCCAACGTCGATTCCATTTGCATTTTCGAATCTCTTTCGACGAGCTATGCGATGTCGATTCAACGTTGATTCGACGTCATGTTGCGCACTGGGCTAGATCTTTACTTCTTCTGTAAGTGCACTTGAAAATTTACTAAAATTTAAATATTTATATTTTTTCTCTATTTATTTTGTGATGAATGCAAAAATTTTAGTTAAAATTTTTCTGAAACGAGATGAGAAAATATAGTGATCTCGTTGGTTGAGAGCTCACATGACAACTTGCTAATTGCTTGTCCACCTCCTCTGCATTCCCTCATTAAGATTTGCACTCAGCTAATAAGGGAGATAATGCAATTCTTCAGTTTCCAGCCACCTCAGATAGTCCGGCAAAGGTTGACGATGGAATTGTTCTACATTTAGGGATTATTACCACATTTCATCTTCTCTATAATTGTAGTATACTTATCCCACCACAACATTTTTAAAACTTCTTTATCATTCTTTATTTGACTATAACCTTCAGAAAGGCAACCTTTAAAATCCTTCTTAATATTCCATATATCATGCAAAGATTGAATAGAGTTATCATTTGCCGAATATGTATATCCTGATAGTTTTTTATTCAATTCAGATAAATCTAAGAACTCCCGCACATTATCCTTGTCGTTGAAAACCCACTGTTCTTCTTGAAATCCTCTGAGCACTGTTAAGTACTGCCTGCCAAATGTTGCGCATTCTATACACTAAATCACCGCTTTTGCCATTTCCTCCATGTTTTCCCTGTGCTCTTCCTTCCCTGGACCAGTGACCTCAGAAAATTTTGAATGACTGCAAAATGGACAATGATCAGAAAAGGGCTTTAACTTGAGAATGGACTCTTTCCACAAAGTTTCCTTTGCTATTGTATTCAGCAAAGAAGACTTGTATTACCCTGTCTATGTTGAGAAATTTGCATAGGTGAACTGACAGCTGTACCGGTACTCGAAGGTTGTTCTGGGGGTCCATTGCCAACTGCGAATGTAAAATTCTGTTTTAGTTGGCCTGTTTTGGCGTTCCTGAAATATTTGTCAAAGCAAGGTTGAACCATTAAAAACAGAATTTCATTTAGTTGGTGAAAAACAGTTAAGCTCGTAACGGGAAAGATAAGCTTGGCCCCTTTTCCTGACCAAGTTACAGAAATTCCAGAGGATGGAGGTGTAAGTGGTAAGTTCAACTTTTCGGGGTATAATGTTTCCATGAAAAGGTGTGCCATTGGCGTTACTGCAGTGGCCCTCCCTTGTTCCCAGTGATGATCAGGCAAAACACCCTCCCTCTGTTTCCAGGTCTTCATTGGTTTCTGCTGAACTGGTGTGATGTCCCCATGTACAACGCTCTTTGCATCTTTGGAATCAATAAAATAGTCTTGTGGTTGTTTAGCAGCTTCATCAACAAGAAAAATTTACGTTTGAGGACAACCAGTGTAAGTTTAATGCAAACTTTACGACACCAATTCTTGAAGGTTGATGAACAGAAATGAATGCATCATTAACTCTTTTTCCATTGTGATGTCTTTTTGCTTGCAGGCTGTTTTTCTTGTAGTTTTGTGTATAATTATAGCATGAGGACAACAAAATAGAAAAACTGGGGTCAGACATAGCAAGAACTAGTTCCCTTGCCTCCCTCATGTGGACATAAGAGAGTTTGGGAAATGCGCTGCGGTCGCAATGGCAACGTCAGCACTCAATTTTTTTAGCCTAGGGCGAGTCCATGTAATGTCCTGCCAAAATTAGAGTTTGGGAAATGCAAAATACTTTTTAGTACGGCGCACTCACTGCACGGTAAAATGCCAGTTGTATGCATGGCAAGTAGAGAAGAAATTTTAGATATTTTATTGATCACTCACCGAAACGGTCATCTTTCTGACACACAGCTGCTTATACTGGACGAAGAGTTGAGAAAAAATTAGTTTGCACGATCTAATTTTCCATACAAAATTTACACTCCTTTCAGTTGGGAAAATTATGATGAAATTACATGTCACACCGAACTGTGGTTTGAGAAAGCTGACATCCTACGCCTTAAACACTGTTTAGAAACCCCAGACGAAGTTCAGTTCTACAAAGGAAGCTACTGCCATGGTCTGGAAGCCCTGTGCATACTTCTAAAAAGATTAGCGTATCCTTGTCGATACTGTGATATGGTTCCACGATTTGGATGATCTGTGTCAGATCTTTGCAATATAACCCACCTTATTCTTAATCATATATATGTCCGAAAGTCACACTTACTTCAGCGATGGGATAGTCCATTTTTAAACCAAGACTCACTACAAACGTGTGCCAATGTCATTCATGCTAAAGGCGCCCCCTTGAGCAATTGTTTTGGGTTTTATGATCGTACGGTATGACCAATTTGCAGGCCTAGAAAACAGCAAGAGATGTGTATAACAGGCACAAAAGAGTACAGTATCGTAATACCCAACGGTCGGATTGCGAATCTTTCTGGACCATGGGGTAAGTACGTGTTTGTGATGTCAATCTCTGATTTCAATTCCATGAGTGTTTAAAATACTCATGAAAACATGATGCTGGTATGCTAGCTGAGTCAGGTCTAATGAGGGATCTGGAAAGAATTGTATATTCTCCAACTGAGGAAACGCTGTGTATTTACGGCGATCCTGCATACCCGTTAAGAGTTTACTTACAAGCACCATTTTGTGATGCAAACCTCACCGATGAAATGAAAGCATACAATAAAGCTACGAGCTCTGTTTGTCTCCGTTGAGTGGCTGTTTGGAGAAAAAGTACTTTCGGTTTACAGATTTTCAACGAGGACTTCAACTTCGTTTAAGTCCAATTGGAAAGATATATATTGTTTGTGCAATTTTACAGAATGCCCACGCTTGTTTGTACGGAAACATTGTATCGGAATACTTTCAGCTGCAGCCACCGACACTTGAAGAATACCTAGAAGAGTAAAGTGCCAACTTCATATTAATATTTTGTATTTTAGATGCAATAAGGCTGTAAATAAAGTTGTTGTCAGTATAAAGTTAGACATTAATTATTATCCTGCCTATTTCAATTATGAAATTTACATCGTTTTGTACCTGCCATTGTGTTGTTTACATTTTTTTAAACAAAACAAAAAAACAGTAAGTATGGTTAACATTTTATTCACTGGAAGTCAAAACATATACAAAATCTTATCCTCAACATTCGTAGTGTTTACTGTTAGTTTGTTCTGATATTTTTAAGCAATAGCTACTTGAATGAATAATAAAATGTACTAATCATTTCATGCAAAATACAAACAAAAGCAAGAACACAACATATGCACAATATAAAGACTGCAAAAAAATAAGCATCTCACGTTTTTACTCAAAATTGTTGTCGAAATAGGTTTAGTCCTTGTTTGCAAGTTTCATTATTGCTAGCAGCATACTCTCGTTTCTTTTGCACTTCCAATTCTTGTTTCTGAATCTCTATTTCCATCTTCTTTACTTCTAGGCTCTTGTTGTCTAATTTCTTTTTCAGACTCAGATGATTTCAGCAAATAATCCAGAACATTCGATCTGCATTTCTTGGCAGAGTGGTAAACGCCTGATGAAGAGGAGGAACTATCTTCTTCCTCGTCAGAATCTTGGTCTTTGCTTGCTCTCTCGTGAAAAGTCTCCATGGCTGATAGACGTATGTTTTCCGCCTCTGTTTTACTATACAAGTTTGCAGCCTCTTTGGCTTCTTTAATCTTTAACATATTTTCTTCTTGACTTGCAAATTGACCTACAATGTCTTCCATTGCCAGGTCAAATTCACTTGGCTCAATATTTACGCCACTCGAATTCAGCTCACTCACCATGTTTCTTTTATACTTCGTTTCTAGCAACCCATACCTTTCTCTGACACCTCTAATGCTGGTTGAATTAAATAAAACTTCTATTTTCGAGTTAAGATTGTCTGCGATTCTTTGCCAAACTGCTCCGATTTGACAAGAGCCTTTGGGATGGTCGAAGGGTCGCTCGGCTAGTATTTCACGAAGCAAATGCTTGTCATGAGCTGGCATCCATTTCATGGGAGGAAGTCTTCTGCAAAAAACATATATTTTTTTCATATCCTTAAATCAACAAAACTTAAAAAACAGTATAAACTTACTTCTCTGCATCCATAATAAGTTGAGGTTGTTAAGACTACGGCAAAATAGCTCAATTGGCGTTGGCAACGGAACGGCGACCAGTCTCGCAACATGGATTCTAACTCGATCCAGTCTAACCGCGCACGTTGCCGTTGTGACGACGTTGCGTTTCCCAAACTCTCTATTACTATCTGGGGTCCTATATAAAGTATCAACAGTAAGATGGGGATGACTTTGTATTCCGGTCTCCATAAAAGCATATTCCAGTAAAAGTGCCAGGTTGGGATTTTCTTCCCATTAGAGTTTTCAACCTCGTCCAGGCTTTACATGAAGAATTTCTTTTAGTTTTTGTTTGCTGATGATTCTCTGTGTAAGCGCAGACTTCTGCCTGTTTCTCATGTCATTACAGACGACTTGTGAAGTGACTCTAATTTTGTTAAATTTTTCAAGGTTTGGAATTTGAAGTTTTCTCGACAATTTTGTACTTGCGATTTGTTTTCAACACCAAGAAGAGCTTTAGAGACAAAATTAACACTGGTTATCTTTTCAAGTAAGGCTATAGCTGTGTCGCGATCTCTTTTACCATCCATATACCTGACAGCATCACTAAAATGATCACCAATGTTTTTTTCAATCTCGCTGTTTACATTCTGTTTATTACATGTTTAAGCGTTAATAAAGGAAAGCAACAACGTAAAGTCAGAGGACATGTTCTCAGACATAAAAGCTTGTCCTTTGATTATGAATTGCATTACATTTAGATGTTTTGCAAGTATCTGAAATAATTCTGAAGACATAATCTGACGCTGCCTCAAAGAACTAGAGTCTCCTCTCTACACTTTTTACGAGTTCTTGTGTTGGCACAATTAGGCCATGTTCTATCAGATAATTAGTAACTAAATATGTTCCAATTTAATGAGCAGAATTCGTGAGCTTGCAGGTTTTTTCAGTTTGTTTTCCAACACCATTATATTGTCCTTCAGACTTCCTTTGATCTTACTTCCAGACAAAACTGGGTATCACTGCTTGGGGACTGACATTGGAATACTTTCATTTTGAATTTTTATTAAATTTAGTATTTTTGGTGACAAAAGGACTGTGATTTTCCGATAAACAACTGTTTATTAGTGGCCTTGGCCCTAATGCTAAATAGTGTACCTAATGAGTACGTCTGCTGCCAAATCTATAATTTCAGTTGTGTCTATCTTGTCAGTACCATCATCAAGGTTTTCGACGGGAGTGATATTTTTTCACCCAAAGTGATCCAGACGTTTTTCCCAAGTCCGGCAAAACTTTTTTGCCTTTGGCATGTACTTTTTGAAGGTTCTTAATTTTCTCATGTTCCTTTTCGATAAAAAAAATATACTTAGAAATTTCGTCTTAATATTTATATGCCTTTGGTGATAAGTTGATACAAGATTGAAACATTTAAAAGAGAAGGCTACAAATAGACTTAGTTTGTAGGAAATTTTAACATGTTATTGTAAATATAGTTTAATATAGGTTTTATAGAGTGTAGTATTTTACAGATGAAGAGCCACTCTTTAGTGGAGATACTGTAATAAATTCATTAAAAAAAATAAAAAAAAAGTCTAAAGTGTCATTGCTAGTTTTGAACTGGTTGCCAGTTATTTTTGTAAAATACATTTCAGTAACTTTGCTATCTTTGCTATCAAAACGCAGAGATACATCAAAGACAGACTTTTTTTTTTGGCTCCGTTAAAACTTAATTATATCTACTAAATTGAGGCATTTCTTTATTGAGTTAATTCTTCATTTTGAACGAAAGTTCTTGACTATATGTCTTGTTACTTGTGGCTGCATTTTGAGATGCCTCCAAAAAAGAAAAAGCCTGAGACAGTTGATGTTGATGAATCGCCCAAGACTACAAGTGTCTCATATGATTCTGCTAATTAACTGCATACGATCAAAGCATTTCAGGATATGTTGGATAGTCGACTTAACGTTCAAGAAGAAAATTTGAAAGCACAAATAAAAATCTTCAATATCATAAGAAAATTCAAGAAGAGTTACAAGCCATTCAAAATAGTCAACAGTTCATTAGTGATAAATTTGAGGATTTATTAAGTAAGATTAATTCATTAAAGGAGGAAAATGCCCAGCTGAAAACAGAAAATATGAATTTGAATCTAAAGGTAAATACACTGACAGATAAAATAGTTGAATTGGTGGAGGGGCAAAAAGATCTGAAGTTATACTCCAGGAGGGACTGTCTAGAATTCCATGGCATACCTGAAATACCAAGTGAGAACACTGATGACTTAGCGAAACAAATCTGTAATTTAATTGATGTTAAAATCGAAGCAGTAGATATCTCAGTGAGCCACCGCTTACCAACCAGAAGAGGCACCGTAAGTCCACTAATTGTTAAATTTACCCAAAGAAACACTAGGGACAAAATATACCGTCAAAGGAGCTTTTAAGTATTCAAATTTGCAGTAGTTACCCTGTTTTAGCACCACACCCAGTTAGGGCTAGTTTGTACCGACAAATCACTGTTCTTGGAGGCCATTCACACCGGGGCCCAAGGACACTCTGCAGAATGGCTCGCTAAAGATTTAATTTGTGTGATTGAAGGAGTCGACGGAAACATGGCTGGTTGCATGACTGATAACACGGCAGCCAATAAGAAGGCTTGGAAGCAATTAGAAGAGAAATACCCTAACCTTTTCTTCCATGGTTGTGTCGCTCATGGACTGAATCTTTTAGTTAAGGACATATTCGCCGCTAAGAAGAAGCAGCGAGATGACGGTGGCCCTGCACAATACCCAGAGGGATATCCGTTCGAAGAGCTTTTACTCTTGGCCGTCGACTGCAAGGATGTTGTAACTTTCTTCTACAACCACCACGCCCCATTGGCCGACTTGAGGAAGGCGTTGAATTCAGCCAAGTTAGGCGCCCTTGTCCATCCAGCTCCGACTCGTTGGGGAACAATCCAGGGATGCTTTAAATCGTTATGTGCTGCAAATAACGTATTAAATGGATTGGTGTCCCAGCACGATTTCACTACAGTTGGGAACACCAGTCAGAGGGAGACCCGAGTGGCGATGAAGGCCATCATCACCGATGCTGATTTCGTGACCAAGCTCGATGAGTGCATCAAGATACTTCAGCCCATTGATACCTTGATAAAGTGTTCCAGAGCGATGAGGTACTTTGCTCCGATGTCTATAAAGCGTTTCTTGACTTGGAGAGTGAGATGAGTGAGCTTGTTGGTATTAGCACAGACAAGAAAAACTATATTGTAAAAAAAAACTATATTGTTGGTGCGGTAGTGCTTCGACTTCATGTACGGAGATGCACATGGCTTGGCGTACCTCTTGGATCCTTGCTACCTGGGAGATAACATGACCAGGAAACTCTGCAAAGAGATAGAATTTATTTTCCAATTCCCCACACCAGACGGTGCCACATCTGACGAGAGAAAGGGAAACTTGTTAAAGAATATACTGCCTTCCCCATGGATATCTTGGAAGAGAGAGAGAAGAAAGGATTTCGCTTTAAGATGATTGGAGTGTCAATCGGTGTTGCAGTGGTGGATGGCAGATGGTACAGACTGGCCATTGCTGCAAAATCTTGCAGTACGGGTATTCTCCATGGCAGCCTTGTCTGCGGCATCAGAGCGGAACTTCTACAGATTTGGATTTATCCACTCGAAACTGTGCAACCGCCTATCTCCAGAAGGTGAAGAAACTGTAAAACCAAGATCATCTTCAGAGAGAACGGATCTTTGGCCGCTACGATGTTTACATTAAATGCTTCTTGTTCTGTTGTATCTCGCAATGAACAAAGACACACTATTGTGCAATGTTTTTATCCCCCACTCAAAGATTGTGTCCTAAATCCTCAATTGTAATCAATGATTGAAATTTTGTAAATTGTAATGAATGAACGAATGTACGCTGACCAATGGTGCTGACTTACAATCGGTCACGAAATATTCTGA